CTCACCAGGTTGCAGATGATAGTTTTTTCTCTACCCTGGAATGTGTAGCTTCTCTCAGTGGGGGGAAGGTTTTACTGGCTTCCTCATGTAACCTTAATAGGATGCGTTTAGATACAAGTCTGATCTGAATACTAGTGTAGACTGCTATTTTCTTGTGTTTTAGTCAGTTTCTAAGCTTTGTTGTAAATGATTAGGAATACACAGCCTTCTTTATCGTAGCTATGCTGACAAGTTGTTAGCTTGATTTGTACCCTTTAATAATAGTTCACCTATTTTTTCAGATGCTTAGCAAAAGATGAAAGGAGTTTGTATCATGGCAAGTTTGTAGCCATGTTGCATTATCTTGACATGTTTAATGAAATCATGCTTGCTATGCTCACAAATAATGTTGAAATGTTGATGCTGCTAATGTTTACACGAAGTATGTTATTAGTATTAGTGTAATACTGTGTTTTTTTTTAGCAAAATCTTGTGAAATTCAAGTCTAAATCCTACAAAAAAGCTGTCTTTCTCATAACGCTGTGTTAAGTCTTTATATCTTACAAAGTCGCCCATTCTTAACCAATAGAATATACAAGAAAGAGGCTCTTTTTTCTTTTTTTTGAAAGAGAAAGAGGCTCTTGTTCAAGAAAATGAATGGGTATTTGCCTATCGCTTGCTCAAGCTTGCCCAAAGTTTAATGTGCGCGAATTATACAGGTGGTGGTGGCAAATCTAAGAGGAGCCAAAACCCAACACAATCATCTGAGTCAAGGTCCTCTTGGATGGCAAGGAAATGCAAGCCTCCACAAGCTTTCTTCGTTGCTTCCCATGCCTCAGTTTCTTGTGTTGTCTCGGGTGTTTTCTTATATGTAGCATAAATATATCGGGTTGAAATTCCCACAGACAAGAGCAAGCAAGCCCGGGCAGTATCAGCTTCAATGGAGCAAACTTCCAATCCATTCATCCAAGCTGCAGTTAGAACAAAAATAAGATTAGGTTGGAGTATCCAGTGGAGAATTGGGTAGGTTGACGACAGGTCTAGGGCAAAAGGCTATGAAGCTATCTTTGAAAGGCAGTAAGATTATAACACGGTGACACTAAGTTATACAGTACAAGCATAATTCATTACAGCTCATGACCATTCTAAGAGAAGTATTACTGAAGCGACAAGGATTAGGGGTTTAGGGTTAAGGAATGATAGATAAACACATAAAACAGGTAAGTTCACATTTTCTCTCAAATATGAAGCCAAATGAAGCAGCCCTACTAATAAATGTTAGTGATGTTACTGCTACATGCCTACATGCATGGACACTGAGTGTACAGTTCAATAGAGCAAGGTAGGGAAACTGCTTAATGCATGACTTAAGTGTTCCTATAATAAGCTGCTTAATTCATCGGTATCCTCGCTTAGTGCATTCAAGGTGTTCCTATAATAAGCTGCTTAATGCATCGGTTTCACTTAGTGCATTCAAGGGAAAGAAGCAGTTTCTTGAGCTAATTTTGTAGCACAACATGACTAGACCTGAATATGAAGTTTAAGCAAAGGGATGATTTATACCTGCCAAAGGTTTGGCACGTGAAGACGCAACAGCTAAACCAGGAATTAGTGTGTCATCATCAATATCAATACCAAGCAAATCCAAATCTAAACTAGCACCAAATGCAAATTTCTTCTCCAAGGTTTCCACCTCCTCACGCACCGCTGAGACAGTAAACTTGGATAATTAGTCGACTATCCATCATCACATGCAATTATATAAATTTCACAATCTGATACGAAGTATTACACAATGCCATCTTCTAGGATTGAATACCTGAATAAGGCAATTGGACAAAAGCCCATCTATCTCCGAACAGATTCTCAGGGAGTTCCGTAGGAAAAGGGTTATCTAACACCATAAGAGGCTTTGCTCCTTTCTGAAAGCCTGGATGGCGCGTATAAATGGTCTCAAACCGTTCTTCCAACCAGAGAAGCAACGATAAACACTGCAATAATGGCGGATATTAACATCAACTATGAACCTAGTGAACTCAAAGACTAAGCAGAGAAAGATCTTAGAAACAATTACAGCAGGAAGCTTCCAAAGTATATTGCCAATAGACAGCATATTGCTCCCATGAAGTCAAAATTTAGAGCACAAACCTTATGACACAAATTCAGAAAATACCAATTACTGATCACTAATTCCTTTCAAGGAAAGCTTAAAGAGATCCTAAATGCTTTTCCGTCAATTCACAGTAAAGGAATTTTAACATCCATGCCTGAATTTCCCCTTTAATTTGACATGTTCTCCATCCATAATATCATTACGTGAATAAACTAAAATCAATAATTAATACTACCTCCGGTCTCAAATTAGTTGTTCCATTTTTGTTTTGCACGGTTTCGAAGCTACCAATAGCAACATAAAAGTGTAAAGAACTAAATCAAATCATACTAGTACAACAGTTTTTACCCTTTTACTTGGAATAGGTTTAATTCCAAGCTCTTTGCATGCCTTGGTTATAATGGTCTGCAACTGAGACCTGCATAATAATAGTCAAATCAACATACAACCCAAAATCAGTAAGATCATTTCACAACACAAATTAAAGAAACACACCCCATAAGACTCTAACTTCCAACCCTTAATTATTATTTTTTTTTTACTAAAAATCAATAAAAACTTGAAGAATCAGAAAAAAAAATGACCTGAAAAACCGAATTTTCTCAGGAAGAGGGACACCCAATTCATCACAAATGGTAACAATGGCATTCTTCAAAGTAATGCTATTAATAACATTATTGGGGAAATACTTTGTGTATTGTAAAGATAAAGAATTATCACAAACAACAAGTTCCCATATCTTTTTACCCCTGATATCAAGAATGGGTCTAGAGCAAAAATCCAATTCCCATTCAGTAATGTTTTCGGGTTCAGTTCCCGGGTCAAGAAAACTCATTTCTGCAGTCGGGTCATCATCAATAACATCTTCAATAGTTTCAGCTTCTTCAATTGAGCTTTCAGAGACTGAATTGACCAGAAAACGGCGTCGTTTGCAGTTTGATGAGGTTTTGAGGGTGGAAGAGTTTGAAATGGTATGAGAAGTTGAAGTACATGAAATTTTTGTGGGTTGTGAAAAAGAAGTGAAATTGGAGATGGGTTTGTAAGGAATTGAAGTAGTTTGGTCTCTGAAGTTGGTAGGATTGAAGCTCAGAGTAGCCATTGAAGTTTTTGGTTTAAGCTTACTGATAAGGCGCGGTATAGAAGAAGAAGATGATGAATGTTATGGTTGGTTTCTCTGCCACAAAATATGATGAGCATACCCGGGTTTTTTTGGGTGCCAATCAGGGGCCAGGACCTAGGACCTCATAAAAATAACATTTAAGTTCGAAAGAGTGCTAAAAACTGACGTGATTGATTCGAAAAAAATCCAATTTAAATTTCAACTCGCGTGAATTCAATAACTTAGTGTGACTCGACTTTGAATGACTCGACCCAAATACCTAGTCTAGGTAGGGGGCTGTTTAGTTGAACTTCTTGGAATGGGTTGAAATGAATTTTATGGTTTTATTTGTTTGGTTGGGTTATTTAAGTATGGAATCTTATACCCGGGGATTCTAACTCTACCCCATTCCCTTGGAATCTCATACCCATATCCCCCCAAAGATTCATAATCCATACTACCACTCAAGTATGATAATCCATTCTATGATTAAACAAAGCAACTTTAGATTGGTATGAGATATAGAATCCATACTACCCAAATATGATAATCTATACCAATCCATTCCAGCTTAGTGGACCAAACGACTCTAATGCGTGGCAAGATCACTCATGACGACTTCATATAATTTCACCTGTTTTAGAAGAAATCTGGTTAATAAATTCAGACAAATTTAGATTAGATAAGTCATTTTAAAATAAGAGCCCAGTTCTTTATACAGAAAGGCTTTCAACGTTTGTCTAAAATAAGTTTAGATAAATTTTTATAAGTGTAAATATAGTGAAATGAATGCACCATTAGCTCCAAAGGTGAATCTTGAAAAATTACACCTATATGCTTGATTAACACCTTTTATTGAAAGCCAATAAACAATACGGATATCTTCTAGTAACGATGTATGAAGGTTGCATCCCAAAGACCCAAACTATTTTCACCTCAATTTCTAGACATTATGAGTAATTGATAGTTAGAATAAATTCACTGTGGATATTGACTTTACATCGAAAAGTACCGATAATTCTTTAAAAGTCACTTGTTTGTAAAGTTAACTTTCATGCGGCTTTTTTTTTTTAAAAAAACTTTTATATAATTTGGAACTATGAAAATATTTCATTTCCATACATTAAAAAAAAAAAAAAAAAAAAAAGGAATTGGATATGAAAATTTGAAATCATGTAAGAGCACTTACAATGGTGAGCAAAATATTTGCCCATGAGCATATTTTGTGAGCAAATAAAATGCTCATCATCCACAATGGTGAGCAAATCCAAAAAACCGATAAAAAGCCCATGGGCAAATGTAAAAATGCCCATAGCTTGGGCATTTTTGGTGATGAATAGTGTTAGAAGTGGGCCCCACATGTTGCTGAATTGTTTAAAAAATGTTGGCTGCCAGCACTTCAAAACGACGCGTTTTGGGCTAGCAGCCTTAATGGCTCGCCTCAAAACGCGTCGTTTTGAGCTCCAGAATTAAAAAAAAAAAAAAAAAAAAAAAAAAAAACTAGTGCACTGTAGCGCGTCAGGGCTTGTAGCGAATGGGAGTGCGACACGTGTTCTGTTGCAGGCTGTTGGCCAATGAAAAAAATAGCCGTTTTTACAACGGTTATAATCCTTCTATAGCATTTTCCGAAAAATATATTTATTAAAAAAAAAAAAAAAAAATTACCAACGGTCATAAAATTAAATTCTCTATAAATAGACATGCATTTTGATATGTTTTGATATAATTTCGTAATCACCTAAAATCCTCCACTTTTTTATTTTCTTAAGCATTTTAAATTTGTAGAAGAATATATTTGTTGCAAAAACATCCATATTGAGGTAAATTTATTTTTTTTAAATATTTAAATTTTTTTTTAAATATTGGTTATTTTTTTAAAAAAATATATACATGTAGTTATGTATTAAAATTAGTATATATGTGATTTTTGGGAAAAAAAAAATATTGTATGGCATGTTATGTAATTGCTTTATGTAATTGAAGAAAGTTGTTGATAATTTCTCCTTTACATTACTAAATTTGTAGTAAATATAGTGTTGCAATTATTGGTTAATTTTATTTTAAATATATACATGTAGTTATGTATTAAAATTAGTATATGTGTGTTTTTTTTTTAAAAAAATATTGTAGGCCATGTACTGTAATTGAAGAAAGTTGTTGATGTTTTCTCCATACATTACTAAATTTGTAGTTAATAAAGTCTTGAAATTATTGGTTAATTTGTTTTTTTAATATTAAAATTTAGTTATGACTTTAAATTAGTATATATGTGAATTGGTTAATAAAGTTGTTGATATTTTTTTGGATTTGTTGTCATTTTAATTTGTTTTTTGAGTAAATCTTAGTAAAAATATTTATCTTTTGTTTTGTGATGCAGAATCTTTTAATGGATCCAAACAACCCAAATTTCCGTCAACAATTTTCTGGTTTTAGTGATGATTTCCTAACTAATCCCGAGTTTCAATTGTTCTTGCAAAGAATGGGCAATACGTCTTTGCAACCACCTCCACAGTATCAGACACCTACTCAGTTTCCCCTACGAAACCATGTTAATGAAGAATGTACACCTGAAATTGAACATGATAGCAACACACAATTCGATGAGAGCGAAGAAGACAACGTACCAGAGACGCCGCAATATCCTCCACCAGTTCCCGAACTGAAATCCAACCAGGTTGTTGCACGAGCGACTCGAATTTGGTCAGTTGCGGAAGATGAGGACATACTGCGGGACATAATGAAAACATGTATCATTATGCACAACATGATTGTTGAAGATGAGCGCCACAACTACACTCGAGCCGAAGTTCTAAGAGCCTTCTACGAAGAAGATCAACAAGAATCAACACCAGCATCAACATCTACAACGCCACCGTTTGAATTCAACGTAGGCCGACCTACCAACTTTGATTTCAACGCATTTCTACAGCGAAAAGCTTCCCTCCGTGACAGAGAAATTCATCTATCTCTGAAACGTGATTTAGTCGAACATATTTGGCAACACTACGGGCCACGTAATTAGGGAGAAATTAGCACGACTTAAATAAAGCCAAGTACTATGGCGTAGCTACTTTTACTTGTTGTGTTTATTTTATTTCCTAAGTTTAATTACGCATGACGTTGCAAATGTAATTGGTTTCTAGTATTGTACCGCTTTTAAAATAAATAAAAACATTTAAGAAATTTTGAGCTTTTTTAAATTTTTTTTTTATATAACGTACTTAATTTTACGACAAATTTTAACGATAAAAAGGACAAAAATAAAAAAAATAAGTTACACAAATTTTAACTAGTTTTTATTTATTTGGAGTAACATTGTTAAAATATAAATGAAATAAATAAGTAAAAGAAGTGTTGTGTAGGAGAGAGAAAGTAATGGTGGGGTATTGAAAAAGTAAGAGAGAGAGAGTGGTGGGTGGGCAATTTTTTTGCTCACCATTGGGAGAGAATATGTGAAAAAAATTTGCCCATGAGCAAAACTTATTTCTTGAGAGAGAAAGTGGGTAGAGAGAGAGTGGGTGAGCATTTTTTTTTGCTCACCATTGAGAGTGGTCTAAGGGCTTTGACCCAGACTAGATTAGATAAAAGAAGCCCAAAGTAGAACAGAAGCAGAACCACAAGATCAATTTACATACTGTAGTATTTCTGTTCAGTTTCCAAAAACAAAGAAATATAACCCGCAAAATTGTAGAGTGCTGTTCTCTTCGTCTTCATCTCCCTCCTTAATACTGCTGCTGTTGCAATTTCAAACGCCTTCAATTTGTTCGTTGCTTCAGTTTCAAGTAAAACCCTAATTTCTTTTTTTAATTTCCTTTTTCTTGCTATAATTTTCTATTGTAGTAGTTCATAATTCTGTTCATTTCATTTTGTAGAGTTTGTGGGTCATTCTGTTAAGAGTTATAGGAGAGTTAGGTTTTATTTTGTTGTTCTATTAATTCAAGTGATTGTGTTTCTCTTATTCTAGTTAATTATGATAAATGGGTTTGTAATAATTCAAAGTCTTGATTTTTATTTCCTGAAGTTTTTTTCTGTGGGTATATAAAGATTTAGATTCAAGGATCTAATAATTTAATTTTGAGCTCACAAATTATGTGTTTTGTAACTTTTATGTTAAAATGCTCATGTAATGTACAATCCTTTATAAAAAATTCATATTCTTGTTGTAGCTAATGATATTTGTTATCTGAGTGAACTCCTACATAATATTTATGGAGGCTGTGATCTGATTAGGGCATGATGAGGTCTGCAGGGTATAGTTTCGTAACTTCGTGTGCTCCTGTACTTTGTTTAGTCACTCAAACTCGCCGCGATTTTCATCAAATTTAGTAGTTGGAAATTCAACAACATCAAAGAGATTATACTGTTGTGGCCAAGGCCACACATTACATAAGGAATCACCAATGGTTGTGGCACGATACCCTCCTCCCCTCTTCAGGTGTGTTTTCGTCTTCCTTTAGGGTTCGGATCATTTGATTAACTTCACCAAATATAACTCCATATTGACATGAATTTCTAATGTTACTGATTTGATTCCCAGTGTCGCACCAATGATGGAGTGGACGGATAATCACTATAGGGTGCTAGCACGAATCATATCAAAAAATGCTTGGCTTTACACGGAGATGCTTGCTGCAGAAACTATTGTTTATCAGAAGGGTAATCTGGTTAGTGAAGATCCTATGCTGTTCAGTGCCTTAAAGTTGGGTTTTATTAGATACTATAGCTTAGTCTTCTGTGTATCTATTTTTGATCGATTAGGATTGGAAGGAGGTCTTCCGTTTAAAATGAAATTATGTGCTATGGTATATGCTTTGTGCTTCTATGTTCAAATTACTTTCAATGCTTAAAGTTGTAATATGAGATTGATTTTCAGTAATTAAATATGAAATGATGGTTTCTTTTCTAGCAATGTGTCATTTTACTGGTTTGCATATTTCGTACTTACATATAGGTGTGGGAGTATGTTTCTTTACAAGTAAATATTGAGCGCTAAAATCTGAATTATTTTGGCTATGGAACAATTTTTTGAGGCACATTTTCTCTTTTTTGGGGCATTGATTGGGTCAAATATAATTTTATTTTTTTTTTATATGTCCAGGACAGGTTTTTGGAATTTACTCCAGAGCAACATCCTATAGCTCTTCAAATTGGTGGGAATAACTTGGAGAACATTGCAAAAGCAACCCAACTTGCTAACGCTTATGGCTACGATGAAATTAACTTAAAGTTGGTGCTCAATATCTTCTTTCTATTTTATTTATATAAAGGATTTTCTTTGATTAGTTTCATTCTTTGGCTGGTATCTGTTGGTCTTTGTCTTACCAAAATTCTGTGACCTTTTTTTTCTTTTTTTCAGTTGTGGATGCCCTAGCCCTAGGGTTGTTGGGCATGGATGTTTTGGCGTGCGCCTGATGCTTGATCCTAAGGTAAGGAACTATCTTTACTGACTTACTGAACTGCAAAAGAGGATTATTTTTCGTCAAATTTTTGCTAGTAGAGGATTCCCTAATGTTATTACTCTTTGGCCTTTGCAAGGAAAGTTTGTCGGTGAGGCCATGTCAGTTATTGCTGCCAATACAGATGTTCCTGTGACTGTCAAATGCCGCATTGGTGTTGATGATCAAGATTCTTATAATGAACTATGTGAGTGATTTGCTTTAAGCCTCATTTGTCTTCCAAATAATAAAAAAATGAGCTTTCTGTTTGTAGAATTGTAGTCCAACTTCTTTGGTCTCTCATTCTATCTGCCCTCCTCTCCTCTCTTCCTTATGGTTTCTGGGGACTGGTTTTGTTTGTAGTAACTCTATGTGGCTTTGGAAAAAGGACTATATCTTTACTATTTGGCTTTCTCGTTGTCATTTTGAAGATTTTGTTGGCTTTCATTTGGTGTCTGATAAATGTTTGGTGAAACTTTATTGTGATGCCCTCTGATTAATTTTTCAAATTGCTAATATTCCTGTTATTCAGGTGATTTCATTTATAAAGTATCTTCAACGTCTCCTACCAAGCACTTTATCATACATTCGCGGAAAGCACTTCTCAATGGCATTAGCCCTGCTGAAAATCGATCAATTCCACCACTCAGGTAAGTAATAGTATTTCAAATACTGCCTCTCGGCTAGAAGCTAGACTAATTTAGGTTGAAGTTAATGGTCAGAGGAGACCTATTTGAATTAGAGCTGTATTTGATAGTGCTGTGCACTTGAACTGATGACTGATGGGGTAATTCAATGTTTGTTACACAGATATGAATTCTACTATGCTCTAGTACGTGACTTTCCAGACTTGAAGTTTACAATAAATGGAGGCATAAATTCAATTGAAGAGGTAAAACTTTTGTCTAGCCCCTTTAGTAGTTCTCTGATCATTACGCTTATTCTGATCTTTCACTGTCTAGCTGTGGTAGGCTTTTTTTTTTTTTTTTTTTTTTTTTTTTTTTTTTTTTTTTTGTGGGTGGGTGGGGGGGGGGGGGGTGCGGAGTTAAGTATTATCATATCAACAATGCCTTTTATTTTACATTGCCTGACAGCTTATCCCCATTTGTTGTCCTGTATTGACACCTTTGCACCGGTTCACATTATCTGTGACCTACCTTCACAACCTATTCTAGTTATGAATGTTGCCATCTTTTCATGATATATCACTCGCAGTTATGCACCCTTAGTTTATATGAAGAATGGCCCAACATGCTTTAATTTGGCTGGAATTTTTTTCAGTAAAGTAGTTTGCTTTAGTTTATCCGTGGAAGCAATGTATAGGTCAACTTCTGTGGGGTTCTGTACATGTTATTTCTTAGTTGATGACAAAGCCCTGTGGTATACTCTACCGAGCACTTGTGAAAGCTATAAAAATAGAGATTATGCCTTCAATGTAGCATTTCAATAAATGGGCTGTGACCATTTACTTGTGTGGCTTGTAGCTATAAGCAACTGGCTATGCCAAATGGGTCTTGTGAGCTAAACAGTATAGCTGCAGTTTTTGTGTTTATGTTTGTGGTTTTATCATCTTTCGTCTGTTGTGCAGTCTTTATGATTTTGTGTCTCTCTTTTGTTGGTGATTGTGATATCTGGAACCTAACATATTTTTTTTTTCCTCCTTATGTCTTTTTATCTGGTCCAAAGGTGAACGGAGCATTGAAAAAAGGAGCTCATGGGGTAATGGTTGGGCGTGCTGCCTACAATAAGTGAGTATATCCTGGAGTACTGATTGATTGTGTTGAATCATTTTGATGCTAGGTTTGGAGTTTTTCCTTTAGTCAACTTTGTGATATTCAGCTTCTTGCCATAACAGTATACCTGTATACCACACAATGTATATCTTGCAATTGTTCTGGTTCTATGATAATTGATGGGTTTATATATGTAATGTAGAATTTCCTATGGTGGGAGTGGACCGTGGGACTTCTAGGCATGTTTTTTTTTTCCATACTTTGTTGGGTAGTCAAATTTATTTCTTTGATTTTTACATTTTAACTTGGACCTTTACTTTTATATGAAAGTCAATCTTAATTTTAATGAATTGGACATAACAAGGGAAGGTAAAACTCTAAATGATTAGATGATGAGCTTTGAGAGATTGGTGCCTTGGTGGAGTATTAATTGCATCATCATAGATAGATAGACCTACTGATAGAAATCTGATGAGGAACCGGCCTTCTTGTTTCTCTCTTTTCCTGGCAAAGGTGTTTGTTTTCTTATATTTTTCCTATCTTCCTCTGAGTAAAAGAGCTTGATAAGGGTTAGTTAAAGAGCTTCGTAACTTGGTAAGGGCTAATTTAACTTCTTTGAACGATGTATTACGGCTTGAACTATAAAAATCAGTGTATAGTTTGTCTCTGTATCTGGTCCTTGTACAGAGGCAAGAATCCTAGTTTATTTTCTCTCAGGTTATGGTATTTCCCCATTTCACGAATTATCTTGAAAATTGCATTGCAAAAAACTTGGTGGCACTTTGCTTAATAATTTGCTTTATTACAGTTTTTACATGTATTTGCTATTGGCTGTTTTTCTGAAAACTATGTCAATGTTGCAGTACTTGGCAATTGTTGAGAGATGTTGACACTGAAGTCTATGGTGATCCTCCCTCCGATCTTACGCGTCGTCAGGTTAGCAGTTAGTGATTACTGGTTAGCCTTATAGATTGAGTCTGCATCGTTGTGATTGACAATGTCTTTGATATCTTGGCCATTTATTTTGCTGATCACTTTTGTTGTAGGTTTTGAAGGAGTATCAAGAGTATGCAGATTCCGCGCTTGGCAAACATGGCAATAACAGACCAAATGTTCGGGATTTGGTCAAGGTAAAAAATTATTAGAGTATTTATTTTA